AAGACCAAAAAAAAATCCAAAGTAACATAGTAGGAAGATCAAAACTTCAGAATTAATCATATACATTCTTTATTTGAAGAAAACCTAATCTTGAAATGCTACTCCTATATCATATCTATATAGTAGAGACAAGAATTTTAAAAACAGTAAAACCTAGACTGGTAATTGTGGTTAGGATGATGAAGACAAGATAATCTGTTCTTTTAAAAATAATAATAATAATAATAATTCATGGTAATGAAATTAAATAACTTATAGACGTGATTGACCAACCAAAAGGATAATAATTCCAAGTCGAGAAAATGAATTAGGAAGAAGAAACAAGGAAAGATGGACAGGAAAGAACCTCAGGCAAGAAATTCATGGGAACCGAAGACTGAAGAATATCGTAGCTGTAACTCATCTCCTGTCTTTGTTTTTCCTTTTCCTCTCATTTTTTTTACAATAAAATTTAGCATTCTTCATATTTATCTCCTCTATTGTGGATTCAGTAGTCATACGTGTTGGCTAGGCTATTAACTCATGGCATCTGATGGCAAAAAACACTTGTTGGAAAGACTGGATGGTGTTCATATATCATTTGCTTAAATTAGGAATAGGGAGAGAAGTCATCGATCTAGAGCTGACCGTGGCCTTGTCAGATTTTTAAAAAAAAGATCTGTAAGAATCCAACATAAAGTTCTTTATACCCAAAATCAGAACGAATCAATGGAGCTAAATGACAGATACAGCTTGGAGTTCTTTTTCGATGAAAATGTTATCTTATAACTACAAATTGAGTTTTTAATTTGGTTTTGATAGGTATTTTATTTTTTCAATTAAAATTTAATATTTTTGATTTTAGAGTATTTCAATGAATCGTTTTATGATTATACTGTTTATATATAATATTTGAAACGGATTAAAATTTAAAATAAAACAAAAATTGTTTTATTTTGTTATAATTTTTAAATTGATACAAAATATTCCAACCATTTGAAATGAAACGAAATGAAATTTACAATATGGAAATGAACACCACATTATATTTTTTTTTTTATTATTTATGTAGGGTGTCCGAACCAACTTACGCGCACCACGACTAATCCCCACGGCTCACTGAATATCCTGCAAGCCCAATGAATAGGTAAGATACCGCGGGGATGATAGACATTCATAATAAGGTTCGAACCCAAATACAAAAAAAGAGAATAAACCCCTCTCACCGCTAGAAGAGAACCTCACTTGCCACCATCCTGCAAGTCCAGTGAACAGGTAAGGTACTACGGGAATGACAGGCATGCATGATAAAGTTCGAACACAGGTATAAAGAAAAAAAAACAAACCCCTTCCACCACTAGGCTAGAAGCTCACTTGCCATCGCATTATATTTTTAAAAGCTTAAGAAGCAGCCACCCCTTGACTCGGGGGTACCTCTGGGGAGTTACGGTCAAAAAAGGCGCAAAAGAAAACTCACAAAACAACACATTATCGAGGAAGGAATTCAAGGTCCAATATATACAACTTGACAAACCAGCTTAAATACCGGCAGAACTCTTCAGGTTGGAGGCATTGCGACCAGGCAGGAACCAGCCATGCCTAACACTCATCTATACTCACTCTTTGGTTTTTTCCTTCTTGTCCTTGCCGTTAAGTTCTTGCTACCATCAGGAAAAAAGCGCAAAAATCTCCCACCAAGCCCGCCAGCTATTCCAATCATCGGCCATCTTCATCTTCTCAAACAACCCATCCATCGAACTCTTGAGAATCTCTCAAGAAAATATGGCCCCATCGTCTTTCTTCGATTTGGTTCCCGCTCCGTGATTCTTGTATCCTCCCCATCTCTGGCAGAAGAATGCTTCACCAAGAACGACATCAACTTCGCTAACCGCCCTCCCTTTCTAAATGGCAAGCACTTACATTACAACTTCACCACGGTTGCTTCAGCCAACTATGGTGATCACTGGCGCAACCTTCGCCGCATATGCGCAATTGAGATCTTCTCGTCGTCCCGCCTCAACTCCTTTTGGGGCATCCGAAGAGACGAAATCAAGCACTTAGCACGCAGACTTCAGCAGGTTTCCAACACCGGTTTTGCTAAGGTAGATTTAAGGTCCGTGTTTACAGACCTGACGTTTAATATCGTAATGAGAATGATTGCAGGGAAGCGGTATTACGGTGAAGATGTGAATTTAATTGAGGAGGCAAACAAGTTTAAGGAGACCATGCAAGAGTATGCTGACCTGGGGGGGTTGACAAATCTAGCAGATGTGTTCCCAATCTTCCAGACTGTTGATTATAATGGATTTGTGAAGAAGTGCGTGGGGCTCAGTAAGAGGATGGATTTGATCCTGCAAGGGCTGGTTGATGAGCATCGACGTGACAGGGATAGAAATACCATGATAAACCACTTGCTTACTCTGCAGGATTCTCAACCGGAATACTATACAGAGGACATAATTAAAGGGCTTATTCTGGTAATTGATTAGCCTCAGATCTCATTTTCTAGCTGTAGCTCTGTATCTAAGAGTCTATTTTTCTTCTGCAGATAATGTTGCTTGCGGGGACAAGGACACTCAGTACATCTTTAGAATGGGCAGTTTGCAATCTGCTGAACCATCCTAATGTGGAAAAGAAAGCAAGAGAAGAATTGGATACTCAGATTGGTCGAGACCACTTGGTAGATGAAGCAGATATTTCGAAACTACCCTACCTTCAAAGTGTCATCCTTGAGAGCTTACGATTACATCCAGTTGTTCCACTCCTAGCACCACATATGTCATCTGCAGACTGTACCATTGGAGGATACGATGTCCCAGCTGGTACAATTCTGTTTGCAAATGCGTGGGCTATTCATAGAGATCCTACTCTGTGGAATGACCCAACAAGTTTTAAGCCTGAGAGATTTGAAAACTGGAAATCCGAAGCATACACGCACATGCCTTTCGGGATGGGAAGGAGAGCTTGTCCCGGGGAGGGGCTGGCACAGAGAATAATGGCCATAACACTGGGCTCGTTGATTCAATGCTTCGAGTGGGAGAAGGTTGATGGAAAGGACATCGACATGACTGACAAGATGCACACACTCATGTGCAGAGTAGAGCCAGCTGAGGCCATGTGTAGAGTGCGCCCAGACATGGTTGATCTTCTCTCCTAGTTTTTGCAGTTTAACCCAGTTTTCTCAATGTATTTTACAAATTGTTCCTTCTGTTTTAAGATATATTAAATAAATATTTTTTTAATGATCTCGATTAAATTAATAAATGACCATTTTAATATATTTTTAATTAAAAATTTAACATTTGCTGAAAATGTTCCTGCTATATAGCAATTTTTAATCGGGAGTTAAACCTCTTGGCGTAGGAATTGCCAAGGAATCTCTTATCATATTATTTTGAGGTCGACCAAGCAATTCGGATTGGAAGTCGCGGGGAAGGGGACATTACAATCATTGACAAAGACAATATTAGTATCAAAAGTAAGACAATATTAGTGTAAGAAACTATACAATCACAAAACTATATATATATATATATATATATATATATAATCATGAAAAAAATAAACCATCGATATCAACTATCAATATTAGTGCAACAAGTTCTTGTATCTGATTGGGCAATGGAGTTGAATTTTCAAACTTTTGAACATTGATTTGTATGAAAAAATGTCAAATGGAGGTGACAGTCCAGCCATTCCATTTGATTAGTTGAAAATCGTACCCCCTAGACCGGCCTAAATCTTGTAATATTAATTGCATTTAATTGAGTCCAGCTGACCTTCTAAAATTATGCGTCCTATTGTAACCTAAAAACTACCCCTTCCCCTGGTAGGTGCATTCTAATTTTAGAATTTATAAAATTAATTGAGTTTGATGTGGAGATTGATTGTGGCTGCTGCTGTTACAGCAGTTGCAGGAGGCTGTGGAGAGAGACCCATGGCAGCTTCGCCCACTTGTCAAAGTCCCTCTCTTGAAAACGCCATCTTACACGCATCACCGACTTTAATTATGGTTGTTCAACTAGACAGATGGCACGTGTCGTGATATTTTTCCTCAAAAATATTTTTCATGCATTTTTTTAATTTTTTTATAATTTATCATTTAAATAAATTAAATTTTATTTGAATTATATTAAAAAAATAATAAAAAACAATATATATATATATATATATAATCATGAAAAAAATAAACCATCGATATCAACTATCAATATTAGTGCAACAAGTTCTTGTATCTGATTGGGCAATGGAGTTGAATTTTCAAACTTTTGAACATTGATTTGTATGAAAAAATGTCAAATGGAGGTGACAGTCCAGCCATTCCATTTGATTAGTTGAAAATCGTACCCCCTAGACCGGCCTAAATCTTGTAATATTAATTGCATTTAATTGAGTCCAGCTGACCTTCTAAAATTATGCGTCCTATTGTAACCTAAAAACTACCCCTTCCCCTGGTAGGTGCATTCTAATTTTAGAAATTAATTTGTGCGTTCTAATTTTAGAATTTATAAAATTAATTGAGATATATATATAAATTTATTTAAAATATTTATATTAATAATAAAAAAAAAAAGTCACATGGATTGGAGTCAAATTATTAAAAGAAGTTTCCTAATAGATCTAAATCATCTTTCCCAGGTGCAGTTCCTTTTCTTCGTGGCTTCAATATGTGCTGATGATCATGAAGTCATTAAACAGAACATCTTGCTTCATGGAATGAAAACGAACTTGTAATATAAACAGGAAAAACCTCAAATTAATTCCAAACTTTAACAAAAATCTCTATTGACTTCCTAAAGAATTTTCGAAATCTCACAGTTGTATTAATGATTACACGCTTAGAAGCTCAATTTGGATGGGATTTCTTAACAAATCAATATGGATGGAGCGGACTGGATCAACAATTTTCTAAGCCTCCTAGACCCAATTGTGATAAAATTGTTTTTGAACACTCAATCAACAATCCCTATATGATCGTTGACTCACTAATTGACTGCTAGAGATCTTGACACAAGCACAGATCCAGAGCTTTTACACCTAGGAGGGAAATTCTCCAGTAAATTAAGCACTGAGAGTTGAGGCATTATATATATAGGGCTACAATGCATAGAGGAAGGGCATGAATAGAAAAGAGGTTTTATAATATTAGATTACAAACAAGGTCCAATGATTTTCACTTGGATTTCTTGTGAAGCCGCAAAGAAGTGATGCCGACGAGCAAGAGGAACAAGATGGAACCAAGCAGAGAAAGGGAAATAGAAACTGCAACCTGCTTGCAAAATCTCCCAAAAACATTGCACACTTTGGTCCACCTCACATGCGAATTCCCTTGGAAACCCATAAGACCAATGGCCAAGGCAGCTCCGTTGCTAGAAAACAGCATTGCCACCATCAGCAGATCAAGAACGATAACAATGGACATTATCCCCTTCTTTCCACTCACGGCGAGGACTAGAGAGAGTGCTGCATATGAACATGCTATCGCATTTGATGCAACAGAATACCTATCAAACACAAAGTTGACAGGTAAAACATATTGCAATGAAGACAGAAAATGGCTTCATGCCTGTAGACGACGATCCTTAATTAGAGGTTAACTAAAATCTATCACTTCAATTGGTTGTCTGTATAGTGCTTATATATATATATATATAGCATCATTATGCAGCATAAAGACAAATTCTGTGGTCACGAGATCGTAACATTTAAAATGATAGCTGGCTAAACATTTATGAGAGGCAGACCACCAGGCTCGCATGGGGCAAGGCCTAGCCCCGCACAATTCTCCAAAACAGTAAAAAGGCCTTGTATGTATATATATATATATATATATATATATATAAAGGAACTCGACTTGAATTGCTCAAGATGCAGGCTGTTTTACGCAAATCTCACTCGACAAACGGCCATTATGCAATTGAGTCTTCACAATCAGCAGGACGGAGCTAGAGCATTTATTCTAGAGAGACAAGAAATTAAATCTTAATAATTTTAGTGAAATGATGGGTGGCTCCACTGCTCCAAATAAAATCTTTTTATAAAGGCATAATATTAATGAGTTTTTCTAAGAGGTCAGGGCCATAACAGCCCTCCTCACCGTCATCGCTCCGACTTACAGTAATGACTCAAATCTTGCATTCATCGTAGTCGTAAATCTTAACCTGGCATTTCAACTTTAGCTTCACAACTATAATTAATACAATATTTGAGTTATTGGTGTAAATAAACATGTAAAATTTAGATTAATATGGTAAGTCTATCTAGGATATAAGCCGATTCAGGTTAAAAAAAAATTTAACATATTCAATTGAAAACTCGGTTAATCTAATGAAATTTTACTGGTTAAAAATCTAAATCTTAATTTTAAAAAAATTTAAAGTTTTAATATTTTATCTATAAAGATTATATACATTATAAATAATAAAATTTAAAAAATTATTTTAAAAGGTTTTTTTCATATTGAAAAGATAATATATTAAAAAATTATTTTAAAAGGTTTTTTTCACATTGAAAAGATAATATATTATACTTTTAAATTGAAGTATTTAAACTAAAAAAAATTTTACCCTATATTAAAAAAACATAACTTTTTTTTATAAATATAGAATATATATATTAAAAAGTTTCAAATCTCACATTAAAAAAATATTTTTTTTCGTATGAACATAGAGTATATATACTAAAGAATTTCAAATATCATATTGAAATAAATAAAATATTATTCTAGTATTATATAATGAAATTTGAGAAATGTTAATAACCAACTAAAAATATAAAAAGAAAAGAAACTAATAAAACATATTTATAAAAAAAAGGTATTTATTAGATTACGAGGTTGCTCGGGTTATAGGTCAACTGAGTTTGATATTTTTTTTACTTTTATCGATCTTTTATCTTACCTGGATCAGTTCAGTCACCGAGTTTAATAACTATGATCTTGTACATACTACTAGAATTAGCAATTTTACTGATAAAAGTTTTTGTTAAATTTTACACTAACAATCCATAAATAAAAAATTTACAAAAGGAACCATTCATCAATAATATTTGAGTTATTGGTGTAAATAAAAATGTAAAATTTAGATTGATCTGATGAGTCCATTCAGGATATAAGCTGTTAAAACTAATTCAATTGAAAACTCGGTTAATCTAATTAAGTTTCACTGGTTGAAAACCTAACCCTCAGTTTTTAATTTTTTTTTTCATTTTAAAACAATATCTAGTTGGTAAAATATCTCTTATCTATGCTCATGTGATTTTTTTAGACTTTATATGGCATCCCACCATACCGCTGAGATTCTGCAAGTTGAAGATTTTTTATTCTTTCATGTTAGCGAAAATAGATAATAAATCAAGGTCACGGTAATTAAAAACATATCTATCATAATTAACTTGGAAGAGAGAACTTACGTAATTAAGGTCACGGTAATATATCTAGTTGATATATATATAGTTGATATATATATATATCATAATTAACTTGGAAGAGAGAACTTACGTAAAGGCAGACAAGTAATGCCACTTTGCAGAGACAGGAAGGTTAATCGCTGGCAGGGTATCCACAACCGTAATCGGAACAACCTTGGTCTGCTTGGCTACCCCAAGAACTATAGCAGCAGCCATTGTCAGCACCAAGGCTAAAACTCGTAGAAGCAAGTCACATGTCCTTGCTCCTTCACTTCGGCTCGCCACTCTCCTCTCAAACCCATCCATTGCAGGAAGACTGGCCTTGTTTTGGCTCTCCATGCTAATAATGACTACTTACGTACAATCTAGCCTGGCCTTGAGAGAGAGAACGAGAGAGGGTGAGCTCGCAGTGTCTCAAAAGGGAGCTCGGTCGATCGAGCACTAGATGGGAGGTGGGGCATTAAATAGAGTGTGACCCTTGGTCAGGTAGGAAAGCGCGAGAGAGACAAATTAAAACTAATACATGCTTGGCGTCGCTGGCGTGAATTAAGAAGGGAGTGGAGGGCATGGGGTCGATGGATTGTGCCCCAGCCTAGTAGGCAGTTAGGGGAAGAAAGGAGGCGATTTAATGTGAATTAATGGTGAAAGCTGTTCTTCAGCTGCCACGTCTCAGAAGATTTGTGATAAGTGCGAGGCAGGGAATGGAGCCATTTTCTCAGCCGTTGAGAAATCCTGCCGATATTATTTTTGCCAGAGATGAGGAGATGTGTGACAGTTTAGCCGGAAACGATAACCTAATTCTATTAATTGAACGATTCATCTAATGTCCCGAAATCTTCTTAATTAAAACCTTAGCTGTTCTCATTTGATCAACTAATCCTCGAAAACCACAAGATTTTCCGGTTGTTGTTTACTGAGATTATAATTTGTTGTTGTTTTTTATAATGTTTTTTATTTAAAAGTATATTAAAATAATATTTTTTAAATTTTAAAAAATATTAATTTATAATAAAAAAATAATTTTTTTCAAAAAATATCTTTAAAACACATAATTAAATTTACGACAACAACCCCTCTGCCTCCCTCCCTCCTAATTTATTTATTTCTTTTCAACAATTTCATATTTGGTTTCCTAGATCGATGTTCTTAGAGATTCAAATAATGTAAGTTTTATATCATCTGATTTTGTACGGTTTTTCATCCTTGGTTTTCGACATTATTTATTTATTTGTTCACGTCAGCAGCGTGTTTATTCAAGCCTAGTTGCAATTGGGAAGTTATTGGACTCTTCTATCCACTTGGCCTAGTTGGGCAGCATTTTCTCTCATTATCGAGTGGTTGCAAGAGATTTCAAGTGTATGGATATGTGATAGATATGATTTTTTAAAATGTTTAATTTATTTTAATAATATATATATATACATATATTATAATTTATTTTTTATATTAATATATCAAAACAATAAAAAAAAATAAAAAAGTCTTTATGCACAACTTGAAAGAGAAAGGTTCCATAAACTCATTGAAAAGTTCTTAAATAGAGAAGAAATGCTACCCGAAGTTTTAATAGTTATTGTTTTAGTTTCTTGTTTATTTTCATTTAATTAGATTCGAGTATTATGAAAAATCGTAATGGTAATGTATTATCGTTGATATTAAAAAAATTGTATTTTTCTATGAAAAAAATATATTAATTACAAACGTGAGTCTCATCCATAATTTGTAGTTTTCTCTTTCATAACTATTACAAATTATGGTGACAGGCTCCATTACTGATAATATATAAATACGTTTATGATAATATATATATATATATATGAAATGACTAGAATTATATCATCTTATAGCATAGAGTACATGATTGGTTTGTTATGAAAGTAACATTCTAAAGGAGAACTATTGATAAAAAGAGAGATATTAATACAATTTATTATTTTACGTGAAGGTTGAAGGTTGATGTGATTGTTGAATAGATAAATAGAGATTTATAAAAAATAAAATCTTTTATTCTCATGTTATTTATCATTGTAATGCAACACATTATATTTTTTATTTAAAAATATATTAATATCAGCATATTAAAATTAATAAAAATAAATTTAAAATAATAAAATTATTTTTTAAAATAAATATATTTTTTAAATCATTTAAAAGAAAAAAATTATTACACTCTCAAACAGCATAGAATGTAATAATTTTCTAGTCCTAATCATAGTTATTAAATTCAACTTGAAGGTTGACCCGACCAAAGAGTCTAGTCTTGGATTAGAGTTTACCCGAATCAACCTAAATCAATTTATTAACCTAACCAAGGAGTCAGGTCTTGAATTAGGGTTCACCCAGATCAATCTAAATGAACTTGTTGACCTAACTAAGATTTTTTTATTAGTAATTTCATTTATATTAGTAGATTTTTGGTAAATATGAATTGTATAAATTTTTGTAATATTTTGAAATTTACAAAGTGTTAATTTTGATGTTAAATTCAATCGTACTGTTATTCAAGATCTTTATCAATTTAAATATATACTTGTTGTGTTGTTGTATATTAAATAATCACAGTTAATTAGAGATATATAAAAATTATTTTTTATCAAATTTATTTACATTCAAAATGGTCACTTAATATAAAAAAAATCAACTATTCACAAATATTTTCTCAATTCAAATCCAAGACAACACAACAAGAGGCAAACCACACCAAACATTTCAAGAATCAAATAAAAAAGTTATATTTATATCTCTTAAAAGAGCTAGAATTAACAAAGTAAGGAAAACAAAAAAATAAACCAATTAAATATAATCATATAATAAAAAATAACATCAAATTTATTTTAAAAAATAAAATATTTATTTTTCTCACTTCAATACAATTAGCTTTTCAAACAAGTTTTTTACATTAGAATATATATAACAATAAAACAAAAACTATATTTATACTATTTAAAATACCATATCTTCAATTTAGCTTTTCAAAATAACATCTCCCCCTTCCCTGGAAGATGCTCTTGCGTATTTCCAGTGGAGATGACAACTGCTAATTCGGCTGCTAATATAATATCGAGGTCCGTGTGAAACTTCAAAAGCATGGGCTGCCGTCTTTTGAATCTGCCGTCTTTCCAGTCTAACATTCACGCTGCGCGGCATGGGATTCACATCCGCCTCCATTTCTAAAAATTTTATTCATACGAAATTTCTATGTTTATGTTTTATTATTTATTATTTGTATTTTATACTTATACACACGTTGCACGATGAATTTATAGGCGTATAATATTTTGTATTTAAGAATATAAATGTATGATACAAATTGAGATCGGATTTGATTGAAGTTTTGTGATACGAATCGGGAAACATCTGTATTTTATAAATTTTTCATTGAATAAAATAATTATTTAAAAAATTTTATTTATTGGGATACATGTTATTGGGTCCAGGTTAAATGACCGAACATATCTACAAGCACCACTGCAAGTCTGCAAGGGCGTTAATCGGTGAGGTAATGAATGTGTTGGTGTGCAAGTAATTAAAGCATAATGGGAGGATATGCGATGTGCTGTATGATAAACGAGCGCCGTTCTGGCCATGGCTGCAAACCTAAGAATCTTAACTGCTGAGTTTCTAATTATGAACCACAGATGATTCAATGAATAATTACGAGTTTAATAATTTACAAATACCTAATCGCATCATCAGATTTTCTTAATTCATCGGAGGGTTTGTTGGGTTTTCAGCTACAAAATGAAAATTAGGTTTTTTTCCCATTATATTAATAAAACCATTATCTTTAAATTTCTTAAATAAAAAACAATTGAAAATAAAAATGAAAATTAATTTTTTTTTAATTGGGATAGATTCGTTTGAATATATTTAATTTTAAACTATTAAACTATTTATAATTTCATTACGTACAAAATTCATCCGATAAGGAGTATAAGTTCCATGATCTTTTAAACGTGCAACAAAATCAAGTAAAATATTATTAGAAATAAAATTAGAATTGCGATCAAATTTCATAAATGTTACATCATAATGCGATGTTCTTTTAATTTATATAGTGTTATTAAATAATATTAAATATTAATTTTTTGAGTTAAATATAATTTTAAAAAAATTAAAATTTTTTTATCGGGGTCAGACACAGTGCAATGAATTTTGCTAATGCAAAAAAATTCACCTAACACTAATGAATTTTGCTCACATGAATAATGCAAAAAAATTCACCTAACACTGTTTACGTGAACAGTGCCAAATGAATGCTTCTTACATTGTAGGTGAATTATAATTCACTCGGGCACTCTTCACTTCTTTGAGTGAACAGTGCCAAGTTGAATTAATTCACTTAGCATCACCTAGCAAGGGCACTATTATGAATAGTGTCCAGGTAAATAAAGAAAAACCAATGGAGAGAAGCAGCTCTTAGCTGCTTTTGCAAAACCCCGGTTTGATGGGAAAAATTATGGGGCCCACTAAATAAAAAAGTGTTTTTCTTAGATTACCAAACGTTTAGTTTACGCGATTTGCTTTAAAAGCTAAAGCTACCGCGTAAACAAACATCCACTTAATGTTAAATTCAAACAATTCAGACAAAAATGATTAAATCGCTGACAAATTACTAATTGATATCGGTGGGGAAGAAATCAAGTCAGATTTGATTTTCATTCAATACTTCTAAGATAAAACCGTCAAGTCTCGAGGTGCTGCTATCCACAAGTAAGATTGTGGTGGATATTATGGTAATTTTTATAATTATAATTTTAAAAAAATTATTTTAATTAAGATTAATTTGATATTTATACATGTTTAGTTAAAATTATAATTAAAATTAAGATTGAATAAAATATAATTTAATATGTTTAATTAAAAAATACTTTTTAAATTGAGATTATAAAATAATTAAAATATATATATATATTAATATTTATAATTTTTAATATAAATATTACGTCATAAAACGATATTTCATTTAATGTTGTTAAATACTAATTTATAATATTTATATAAAATATTTTTTATTATTTTATTAAACTATTTACAATTTCATCACATGCAAAATTCATCAAACAATAACTATAATTTTTTTAATTTCTTTAAACACGTAACAACATTTGTAAAATATCATTAGAAATAAAATTAAAATTATAATCAAATTTCGTGAACGTTACATCATTAAATAATTTTTTTAAAATTTTTAAGTGAACGTTACATCATTAAATAATTTTTTTTAAATTTTTAAATAAAAATAAAAATTAATTTTTTTAATTAGAATAGATTTATTTAAATATATTTAATTTTAAACTTCATTCAGTTGAGCTAAAATAATAAAAAATATCTCTATTGTTTACGTTGATGTTCATGTGAATATTAAAGTTATTTTTTCACTGTTTGAGATGCATTGCATAGGACGCAGGATACAAGGAAGGGAAAGTAGGTTTTAAACGTTCAAATATGATTTACACGGGTGTCTCACCAACAACTGTAAAATAAGTTTCATCATTACTGAATATATTATTTATACGGTTTGCTTTAAAAAGCTACCGTCGCTGCATGATCAAGCACTGAGGAATGTCGCAGGACAATTTATTCAATTGTTGTTTGTTTTT